AGTGTTTGCAGTAGGATTCAGAGTGTGGAGAGTGACATTTTCTGCCATTATCTGTTGGGGTAACAGTATCAGAGCAAATTATTTATTTTTAATTAAATTGAGCTCAACAAGCTGATAGAGAATCCGGCTCTTTTCAAGGATCTCCTCCAAAACCTGTTGAGATAATTTTATCCAGAAAGCTTCCTCATAAAATTAACATTTTGGAAAATGGTGAACATCCTCTTTATCAGATAACAGTATTACTGGGGATGTCTTCAGTGAAAGACTTCTCCAAGTCCACATAAGACCAACCACTACAAAAGGTCCTTACTACCTACAGCTATTCAATTTTCTTATGGCAGTTGTCGGCAAACCAAACTATTTAAAGAGCCATAATGGGCAAAAAAAACAAATCTGTCCTGAGCCGCAAAGATGGAAAAGTCTTATATAAGCCTTGTATGGCAACATGGGCTCTAAGTGTATCAGCCCACTATAAATGCCAGGACTACGTTGGCTTACATATATAAGCATTCATAATTACATTTTTATCCTAGTGCAAATGTAACATGTGACTACTCTGCTGTACGATGTTCGGTGCTTTAAGTTTAAATTCCATCACAATATTAATGTTTTAGGTTTTGTTGTATTGAATGAAATTATAAAACACAAACAGGGAGAACATGCAAACTCCATGCAGAAAGACTCTGAGCCTGGAATTGAATGTGGAAACCTATTAATGCATGGCAGTAGTGCTACCAACTGTGTCACTAAGCAGCCCAGTTAGAAAAATTCACCGGTCAAAAGTGACTAGTGAAATTTCTTCAACTGCATAAAAGTATAGTCAGTTCAAGTGCGGGTGTCTGTTTTCAAAACTGCTTTATTGTGCAGTAAAATCATATGCATATGAAAAACACGAATCATTCTTTTGCATAAATCCATATAACTTTTAGCTGAATAACTGGTATGGAATATTTCTTCACATTGATGTGAGCCCTTGGTCGCTAACTTAGAATGATGGTCAGAAACGATCTAGTTCATCAGAATGACTTGGAAAAAAAATGTTTTGCTACGAAGAGTCCTCAGAAAAACAGGTCAACAATATTTATCTGCAGTACATAACAACAAAAGCATTGAGGTGTTGTGTCTGAAGCATGTGATCATGATGTCAAATGTTAGCATCTTAAATGTGACTTCTCACAGGTAAACAGCATGGCCAACAGTGAAACAGTCCACCGCGTGAGGTGCAAGGAAATTCCTTCTCAGTTACATATGCAGGATTACACCATCTGTTGACGCAGGAAGCACAACCCTTTTCTGTAGTTTTGCAACTGAAGCAGCCACGTGTAGTGCTAAAGAATTGTTCCATATTTTTGTCCTAGTCTGCTCTCTAAGCTTGACTCTTTTATTTGGCCATGATCACATTGTTCTGTGACATTCAAGTTAACAAATTACTTGAATTGCTTCTCATTGCCCTTAAACCAATTCTGTGTCTTAAACCCTTTATGTTTTATTTAAGATCATACTTAGAAAATGGAAATCTCCATCTGCTGCTGTCACATAACTCATCTGTTGTATCAATGGTATGTCATGACAGGGGCTATTGCTAAAACTAAACAACAGAACTGTGTGAAGCAGCTTTAAAAGGGAACATTCTTTTCAGATGGGGCTGCACGGTGGAGCAGTTTGTTGCACTGTTGCCTTGCAGCAAGAATGTTCAGGCTTTGATCCCTGGCCCGGGGTCTTTTTGCATGGAGTTTGCATGTTATCCCTGTGCAGACGTGGGTTCTGTCTGGGTACTCAGGCTTCCTCCCACGGTACAAAAAATGTTAGGTTAGCGGCATCTCTAAATTTTCCTTAGGTCTGGGTGTACCTGTCTAGCCCTCAGAGTGAGGACCATTTTTCCAATTTCACCTTCAAAGTGAGGGCCAGTTGTTGCAAAGTGAGGACATTTTGAAGGGCCTCACATGCTATTTTGCAAATGGTTAGGTTTTGGGCCAAGGTGTCAATTGGTTAGGGTTAGGGTGAGGTATGCATTGGTAATGGTTTGGTTTAGGATTAGTTTTAGGGTTAGGGCAGAGAAAGAGTTGGAAATGACTGAAAATCAATGGAAGTCAATGGGAGTCAACACGTGGTCCTCACTACGATGGCAGAACAAGTATGGCTGTGTGTGTGTGTGTATGGTTGAATGTCTTAGTGTGTCTCTGTGTACCCTGCATCTCGACCATAGACCATAGAAAGGCACCAGCCCCACCATGACCCTGACGGAATTAGGTGGGAGAACATGGATGGATAGTTTTCAGATAAAACTGACAACTCATCACTGTCCTACTGAGTGATAATATTTGTATTAGTCTTAATACAGAGTATTAATTGTTAATTAATCTATGGTTTCCTCCGCATGGCTGCGTGTAGTTTTAAACTACTTTCTTTTAACACAGCATGTTAATAAGATTAAAATGCAAACAGGTGGACTATGGTCATGAAGCATGTGTCCTCTAAGTATACTTTCTTGCATTGGATTTTTTTGAAGGGCATTAAATTATAAGTGGGTGAGTCCATATTCTGTCAATGATTCAATTTTCAGTTTTTTAAGTTTTAAGTCCAAAAACCGTCCTCATTTTCTTTGCAAATCTCAACTGCGAACTCCTTTATGCAGGTCGATCCAATTGAATTAAAGGGTAAACGATAGTTACGGTTTAATGTGATTGAAAAGTAAAAAAGAACAAAGAGCCTGAATACTTTATCAGGGTACTCTCTGCATAATATGAAAATTGGAAAGCTCTTGTGTTTTGTTTTTTCTTACAAGTTCAAGGAAAACATTTCTAACTTAGAGAATTAGTTAGAATATGTCTGTATCTTAATACACCTGTTCTATTATTTTATGCATTTAGTTGTACAAATCACATACACAGATACCCCCCCCACACCCATACACCCAAAAAAAATAAATAAAGGAAATTACCTAAGTCATCGGCCCCTCTTTCAGTAAAATAATCTTCAACACACAGTTGTCCATACTAGAGATAAACTAGGTCCTTTAAGGGCATTGAGTTTTTTGTTGTTGTTTTTTTTAACACTGTGGTTGTTTTTTCCCCTTTGAGATGTGTTGTGCTTTCTTCATCAAGAACCGAAAGCAGGAAGTTTTGTAGCAGTGCTTTATTTGGGGATTACCCCCCTGCTAAAAGGCCTGAAACGTGTGATATATTTATTCTAAATAAGCCAGTTTGCTGCTTCAACGTGTGAATTCCTGAGCTCAAAGTCACTGATCAGTGACAACCACACAAACACACACCCTCTTCACTGATGACAGTTGTCTGGGTAGTATGTTTACACCTTTTAAGGATGTTCTACTCACCCTAAACTTGCATTCTTGCTTCTTATTGAGTTGCTCTGGCTTTTTTTGTTTTTTCCTTCTTTTCCATCTCCCCCAAAAAAAACTCTGCTTCAAGTAATAGCCCCAAACATGTGCTCAGGCAGTCTTGAAAGTTTGAACAGAGTTTAAATGATCAATTAAATGGACTAAATACAGTATTAACAAATTGAACAAAGGAGTTAACTAAACCATACTAAATTAAAAAGTGAGAAAGAAAAAACTGAGATTCATTTACATTGTTTGAATAAAACTTTTATTTTTTGTTCACAAAAACATGTGCAAACAACTGAGCTGTATTTTTTGGCAGTCATTCGCAGTCATTTGACTTCTAAATGTATTCATACCTTTTGTACATTCCTCATTTATTTCACACCATGTCACAACCAAAAGCTGTGTTTTGTCGCAATCCTGCTTGGCAATTATTCTCATGCAACTTATTTTTGTTCTTAAAGTGGTGCCTAGACATAAGAAAAAATGCATGCAGGAGTTGAGCTGCAGAGTGGATTATCCTGGCTGCACCCTTGAAAAACCTGCCAGACCCTTTTTGTCTGGGACCAAACCCGAATTTCCTACTTTTCCAAGATTGCTGTTGTTGAAAGAAAGTCAAATCAAGTCCACTTTGCTCAGATTAGACCAAGATTTGGCCTACATGTGAAACATTATTTATAGCTACATAGCACATTACCCTTTAAAATGGTGGTGAAGACATCAAGTCATTTATGTGTTTCTCATCAGCAGGAGGAGGAAAGGCTGGCAAAGCTGACTAAAAGAATAATAAAACAATAAAGGTAATTTAAAAAATGGGTAATTTGAGCTTGATTTAAAATTTTGAACACTATCCTTTACCCCAACTTAAAACATTTTATTTGGTGTATGACAGAAATAAATGCATTTAAACGCATTTAACAAGCTTAATTGTTTTACTTTCTCTTTGAGAGAAAGGATTGTAACACCATTTTTATTTCCTAGTTTTGACAACTGTGATACAGTTAATCAAACATACCTTATCTATTAATCTCCAACCCCCTAATGTTGTTTTGTCTGTCTGGGCTCTCTTCATCCTCCAGAAAACAAACTCCCTTATTATTTTCATTTAAATATATTTATCTTAGTTATCCTGATTATTAAAAGAATACCTGATTTAATTTAGTTCCTTATGTAGTCTTAGACATGCAACTCAAATGTTTTTGTTTTGAGAATCAATACGGAAATTGGAAAATTGTCACTTAAATGTAAAGCACCTTTTGATTGGAACAATCTTCCAAAGGCAACTGTTGCATTTGTGTTCACTGATCTGTCGAGAAACAGCACTGGCATCAATGAGTGCATGTACTGACTACATCTTGAGTAAAATAAACATCACCGGTCATACTCTGTTTTACTGAGAGAATCACATTACCTATTAGCAGACTTATAGTTGCAACAGACTGATTAACTGTGATTCCATGTAAGTTACCAAAGTGAATCTGTAATTAAAAAGAAAAAGAAAATGTTTCAAGGCTAAAAGGGCCCAATTTCCTCCAGAGAATGTGCTGGAAGGCAGAGTCAATAGATCCTGATCTGCTGGTCCAACTGGTAAAGCCAGTGGGGGCGTAGACTGCCACTTCAAGCTTAAGAGGTGTGGTTAGAGAAGAACAAAAATATAGTAATAATAAGAACAGGTGCAGTGTAGGCTGCAGGGAGGAGAAGAAGTGGGAGAAAATAATTCAGGTAGAGTGAGTTTAAAGCTATGACTTGTACCCTTTACAGCCTTTAATTACCCATCTACTGTAGGAACGCACCTTGTTACCAGTTTTTCCAGAACCGTAAGAATACGTGTTAAAGTATGTGTCAACTGAAGGATTACCACATCTTTACAATCACAGTTTTTCCTTATCTTTGCATGAACAGCAACAAGACATCGTGAGAAAGCAACAGGGATACCAGGCAAAGAGAAAGGAAAATGGCTGAGGCTCCAAAGATTGAGCTCTTTGTTAAGGTAAGATCATGAGAACGCGTCTTTTACCGACACAAGTTGAAATAATACAACTAGCTCTGTTGAACGTTGGTCATAGAAAGTTTGTTAAATATCGATTATCTAGAGTCCTTTACTTCCATTTTTTATTTGTTTTTAGAGCTGTTGTAAAACCTCAAAACTGATCAGGCTTCATTAGGTTACCTGTACAGGTATCTCTGTTTAGTCAAATTACAGACGGTTTAGTCACATTATAGATCAAACAGGTGGCAGCTTTTCAAAGAAAATCAGCCAACATTCCATTTTAGCTTACGCTTTCACATCTATACGATTTCCCCTCACGGTGTGCTTTGTCTTCATCAGGCCAGCGATGATGCTGAAAGTGTTGGAAACTGCCCATTCTGTCAAAGGCTCTTTATGATTCTTTGGCTGAAGGGGGTTAATTTCACCCTGACCACCGTCGACATGAGGAGGTAAGAGATATATTTTCTCAAGAGCCCCATCTTTGTATGGGTGACATCACAGTCACTGCCTGAAATGCAATAAACCAAAGATTTTCTTTATGTCACTATAAAAACTGAGATATAGACTGACTGTTGTATAGAGAATCTGTCTCTGTGGTGATTTTAAGAGAAAAGAGTTTTAAAACAAAATACCATTTCCTGTTAATGGAAATGATTATTTATTAAGTTGTGGTCATGTGGGGTATCAGTCAGCATCCGAGGCAAACTGTGATAAAATGTTCTTAATACAAAGAAAGGGATTTTTTAATTTTTTCAAGGAAATCCTGTAACAATAATGCAAAAAATAATAAATGCAACCCTGGACTCTCTGTTCAAACATAATGAAATAATCCTGAAGAAATATTAGATGAGATTTAGAGAAGCTTGCTGCTACAAAGGGCACACAAGTTGAACAGAAAGAAACATTTTACAAGCCTTTCTGTTAAAAAAAAAAAACATACTTCAGATATTTGTTTATCAAAATTTTTCCATTTTGGAAGCATTTAGGTCCGTCTGCCAGTCCTTAAGGGTGTTGTCCTGCTGGTTTTAGGTGTGTCTCTGCTTAAATACACCTGGACCGAATCATTGGGATGGTGGAGAATGTGTAAAAACTAAGGCTCATTCCAAATTTGGGAAATAGTAGCTTCTACCCTGCTATCTGTTCACCCTTGAGGGGTCAACAGTAAGAGCACTATCCAGGGTAGGAGAGGAACCCAAGCCCGTTGTGCTGAATCCAGAGAGCCTCCAGCCTTATGGCGCCATTACTTGAAATATAAGAAGCTCTTCAATATAAAACCCAACACATATGAATCTGTTTACATTAACATGTGTCACACAGAGTACATGTGAGGAAATTTGTGTTTTTATTGATACACTTCTTGGATTTTTAAGCGTGCTTACCAATTTGTCTGAATCAAATAGAGCTGTATAAGAGAACTGTATACTGACAAGGCTATATTGCCTTTTGATGCAGTGACACATCTGAAGGGTCATAGGAACAATTTGAGACCCCTTATAAAGACATACATTTTGAACTTAGTTACTGTAATACAATGCATTTTTACTATAGTATTACTATTGCTGAGAATTGTCTTGCAATATTGGCAAGCATAATGATACAGTTTAATCTATCAGATCTTTGCTAAATTTCATCACTTCTCTGTTTTTGTGTCAGTGCACTTTCAAAATAAGGGAAACTAGGTCTACAAAACAAAAAGAAAAACAATCTATCGATTAGGGATATGCTCAAAGTGTTAGTATGATGGCAAAGTTTTGAAAAGCTATAAAAATGCACTATTTAAAAGATGTATGCAGAAGAAATAGGGGATGCATAAAGAGCCAGTTCATATTTTTTAAGTGAGGTTATTATCTGCAATAGTTCTTTTGTAGTAGAAAAATATCATATCTTAGGGAGCTGCCCCTGAAAAGGAAAGAAATCCCCAAAGGGCTGGAAAAAAATGCACCTTAAATCCCTCTCCTGGTAGCTAAGACTCAGAAACTGAGGCATCAGGGTCACCAAATTGAACCATTAATGACTGTAAACTTGTAGGTGCTCAGTTCCAACTGACAATCACTAAAACTCCTACACTATGTAATTATTGTTGCTTATCTGGTTCATGCCTTTATGACACGACGCATTTATCTTCTGATGGATTCATCTAGCATTATGTTGCACAGGTCTATTCAAACCTTCAAGGATATGCAGCATGTTAATCTGCAGCAACAGTAAAATGTTGTTTTCATGTTCCCTTATAGTAGTAAGTGTGCTTCCTCTGAATGAGAAGGGCTTTTCTACTCTGATTACTCCTGATCTAATAGGCCTCTGGAGTATGTTGACCATATTAATGCCAATCCCTAAGCCAAAATACATTTAAAATTTAATTGATTCAACCCCAGCAGGAATGTTCACTTATTCATTCTGAACTTCTGGATTGGTTTGTCTTACGTTTTTCTTAACATAATTTGTGAAAAATTATTTAATTTGGTGCATTTAAAAATGTGCCCAACCCAGCATCAGTACCAAAATCAAGCTATTTTTGTCGTTACAGCATCAATAAACAACAATGGCCCACTGGCCTTTGAATTATTGCTTTCCCACACTATCACGCTTTAAGTTTAAACTAGATGTATAGCCCCTAGTCTTTGTTCTGTCCATCAATCGTTGCTAAAAATGTTGTGTGTGTCCTTTAGGTTGCCAGCAGAGGGCTCACTTGTCCATATGATAACTATTGACAGTTGATTTTTGATTTATCAGCTTATATATCTGGAAATAAAAACAACATAATTTTTTTTTTCCAAGTAAGTTTTATCTTGAACTACTTTGTGGTGTTTGTCCTGTTGCAGGGCACCAGATGTTCTGAAAGATTTGGCCCCTGGATCTCAGCCTCCTTTTCTCCTATACAACGAAGAAGTCAAAACAGACACCAACAAGATTGAAGAGTTTTTGGAGGAGAAACTGGCCCCACCAGAGTAAGTAGAGTAATTTCTAAAGTATTTAGATTTTATTCTAACACTAATCAACAATTTTGTTCAAAAATGTATAGATATCCTAAACTCTGCTGCCGGTACAAGGAATCCAACACCACTGGACAAGACATCTTCCGAAAATTTTCAGCATACATTAAAAATCCCAATCCTGGGCTTAATACCAGTAAGAACATTTACTACCTGTAAAGCATTACCCCCTGATGGTAAGGATTGCAGAAAACTTAAATATAGTTTGATGCTTTTCTTCCAGTGCTAGAGAAGCAGTTTCTGTCAACTCTGGTCAAGCTGAGCATGTACCTTGAATCTTCACTCCCTCATGAACTGGATAAGAACCCAAATATCACAGAGTCTACACGCCTCTATCTGGATGGTGATTCTTTCACTTTGGCAGACTGCAACTTGCTTCCCAAACTCAACATCGTAAAGGTAAGAGAGAACACATGATCATAAGACTTCACCTTCATAACAAACATCTCCCATAGTATCAAAGGGATTTTTTTTTTTCCACTTAAAGTGAAACATTTTTTCTCTCATTAGGTGGTCTGCAAAGAGTACCGTAATTTTGACATGCCCACCCAGCTGAAAGGCCTGACACGTTACCTGGATAACGCCTACAAACAGGACGAGTTTCGTTACACCTGCCCAAATGACTCAGAGATCCTTATTGCCTACAAATCTGTGGCCAAGTACTTGACCAAATAAACCAAGATAAATGACAAACAAACAGGGTTGTCTGTATTATTGTATTTATCCGCTTAATTTGAACCCTCATTTATCTTTTGTGTCGATCGGTTCATCTGTTTGTAAATGCATTTTGTTGTACATAAGCTTGAAATTATTCTCTCTTGCCACTGGGACCTTTATAACTATATATGACCTGTATTTATGAAAAGAGGAAGCAACAATATGTCATAACAGATCCCTATGCAAATAAAACCAGATGTTTGCAAAATAAAGTTTACATTTGCAGGTTTGGAAGGTTGCTCAATATATATCAACTGTCCACCCAATGATACTGTGTCATTCTGTCTGCTTCAGGCATATAATGTGCGTATTAGTCTGTTTATGTGATATATATATCTATATATATAATAATATATATAGATATATATAGATATATAATGCCAAAAGCTGATGGTTTACAGTTACTATATTGCTGTGTTTGCATTAGACAGTATTTTGGATTTAGTTAAAAAGTCAATGTCAATTTCAAAGGTGCATAAGCTATGTTTGCCTTTGTCACAAACTGGATTTGATTGATGCATGATAAAATATAAATACCTTATTATGCTGAATATTAAAGGCTGCATTATGTGAAGAGATTGTTGTTTTAAATGATTTCATTTGTTGCATTTCCCGACAGAGAAAAATAACAATATTTGGGATACATTGAGCTGCTGTTTGGTTTATTTTTTAATAAACCGAAGAGTCATCCGATCAAATTCTAAGGTTCACAGACTCTGGATATCTGTGAAGTCCTTTTTATGAAAATCTGTAGCAAATGAAGCATAATGCAGTTGAAAGGGAAACAGATATTAAAAACAGTCTGGGGAATGATTTAAAAGATGAATGGGATTAAAAAACAGTTAGAATATCCAGTTTTACTTTTACACAACCAGTGTGAAAGCTTAACACATTTTATTAAAATTTAAATGCTGCAGGTGGTGTAAGCAACTATGGCAGGAATGTCTTCTCTTAGTACTCAGTCTGAGAAGAACCACATGGTTAGGTTTGAGGCGGTTGACATTAGCGCTGATGTTGCTGTCACTGGTCATGAAGTCCTAGAGAACTCCGGCTGAGTTACGATGAGCCCTGGTCAGGCAGACGGTCATAACCATGAAAACAACAGTAGCCAGGAGGAACAGCAGGACAATCCGTAGCCGGGGGCGAAGTCCAGGGTCAGAGCCAGGTGATCAGAAGCCCAATGATGCACTGGAGGGAAATCCAGGATCAGCTTGAGGTAAGAATTCCAGGTTAGTAAACGGGCAGGCAGACAAACAGATCAGGGTCAGGCAGAACAGGCAGGCAGTCAGATAAGACAGGGATCAGACAGGCTCAGAAACAGGGACAGATCTGGTCAGTCAAACATGCAGGAAGTCAGGAATCAGAATGCTGGAATAGATCTCTCCAGTGCCTCGAAATAATCTGGCACTGATGTTTGGTCTGAAGGCTGGTTATATACTGATAGCTGCAGGTGGATCAGATGAGTAGTAATGAAAATGGAGCAGAGCTGACCATGTGTGTCTTGTGAGGAATCAGATCAGCATCAATGCTGAGATAATTACAAGTGGAGTTTGTTAAGAATCTACTTTTTTTTTTAAATCAGGAATTGGAGAAAGTGAAAAGCTTTAAATATTGGGAATGTGGTTGGATGAAAATTTTACATGAAAGGTACATATTTAAAGAGTCTCGAAAAATATAAAAAAAGTTCTAAATATAATGGGATGTTTAGTAGGGACTAGATGAGGTGCAGATAAAGCTACTTTAAGGGCAATTCATATATAATTAATAAGGTCAGTTCTAGAATATGAGTGTTGGTATTTGCATCAGCAGCAGAAACGGTTCTTCAAAACTTAGATTTGAGACTTTGTATATGAGCATTTAGGACAACTACTGTGGCAGCTTTACAAGTAGAAATGGGTGAAATGCCATTGAGTCTAAGAAGATTACAACTGTTTCTACTGGGCAGGTCACTGGGGTCATAATCAATGTCATCCAACACAAATAACTCTAAAACCATGCTGGGTGAAGCAGAGAAAAAAAATAAAGCTTTGAATGGATACTTGAACAGAGAGCTGCAGAAATAGGAGCACATCAACTGGTTATTAGTCCACAAATTCATTTTTCATAATACAACCACATCCCTGAAGCTTAAATAAAAAAAAAAAACAGGTTGTATCTATCCTATACTAGCTTCTTTCATTGCCTTCCTGTTGAATCCAGAATAGAATTTAAAATCCTCCTTCTCACATATGACCAAGCTCCATCTTATATCAGAGATCTGAATATTCCTTATGTTCCTAACAGAGCAGTTAACTTTCAATTGGCAGGTTTACTGGTGGTTCCAAGAATTTCTAAAAGAAGAATGGGAGGCAGATCTTTTAGTTATCAGGCTCCTTTCCTATGGAACCAACTAACTTTTTTAGTCCGAGAAGCAGTCACCCTGTTTGCTTTTAAGGGTGGGCTTGACAGTTTCCTTTTTGATAAAGCTTATAGATAGAGTGCCTTAGGTTATCCTGAACTATCTGTTTAGTTATGCTGCTATAAGCTTAGACTGCTGGAGGATATAAGGACCGATTTTCATCATTCTGCTTCATTCTATCTCTATTCTCCCACTTCGCAGAATTTGTTAGTTCAATCTCTACTGTCATTCTCGCTCTGCTTTGTCTCATCATAGTAGCTTCATCTGGTCCTATTTGGCTGTGACATAATCCCAGAGAGAAGTATCAGCTTTGCTGCTTCCATCTACACCATTGTTTCTCCACCACGGTTTCTCTTGCTATGATTAAATTTATGTTCTTTATTTCATCTTCTGACATGGTAGCTGGCGCAGAGCTCGTCTGCCTGGCTGTCTTTCCTGGATGGGGCCACCTAAGGAGCTGGTCGAAAGTTAACTTTTGTATCTCTGCTTCTGTCTCCATGAGCCCCAGTCGGCCTTGGCAGACGGCCGCTCACACTGAACTTGGTTCTGCTGGAGATTTCTTCCTGTTAAAAGGGAGTTTTCTTCTCCACTGTCCCTACAAGCATGCTTGGTTTGAGGGATTGCTGTCGAGTAAACGAGTCGATGCAATCGGCTGATTTTCCTTAGATAGAAAACTTTGAATCAATTTGACTATATGATCTGGTTGAATTGTCTCTATTAAGTGCCTTGAGATGACATGTTGTGAAATGGTGCTGAAATAAAAATGCAGAAATGACGTCTGGTAAGGTGTTGAAAAGTCTTCAATAATTGAGCGAAAGTCCGACTGCCCTCCTATTTAAGCTTGTTTGTGGTTGTTATGACCCAGATGACTGAGGATTTACACAGGTATTTACAAAATTATATTTATAGTTATCGAATTTGTTCAGATTTAAACAGATGCATCAAATGTTTCAGATGACAAGATGGAGAGCATTTATTATATTCGTAGACCTTCACTTAGGGGTTTATTTAAAGCTTTTTTTTCCTTTTTCCTAACTTGGGATTTTCTGTCGGTGTGAGGAAGCTGCAGCAAACCAGCGGAACCTATATTTGTTTGCTTGTGTTTCCTCCGCCACTAATTCGCAGTTACACCCGCTGCCAAAACCAGCGAGCCTGCACTGATGCAGACTTGCTATTTAGGGGCTGAACGGTCCACTCATCCTACCCACTCGGTGGTTTGGGACGGTCCTAATGTCATAGCTTAATATGGTGGTCCCTCCGCGTGAACGCGCGAACGAAGGGTTAGTGTCTAGGGTTAGTGTTAGTGTTTAGGGGGCCGGTTTGTCCTCGTTCTGATTGGTGCCTGCCATACGCGAAACCAAGGCAACGGCACATAGGGGCGGGGCAAAGCAGTTGACAGCATAAAGAAAACTTTGTCAGCGTATTGCTCACAAATTAGCCTTTTTCAGCGATGTAAATAATGCGAAGCGGTACCTCGGATATCCACGACCAGTGAGTATTCTTGTTATTGTTTTACTCGTAAACCGTTATGGCTAAATTAAGTGTTGTATTAGGTTTTTTTTTTTCAACTAGCTAGACGATAACCCTTTGCTAGCTAATAATTCAGTGGCTAATCATAACCCGAGCTAAATATATATATTTTCTAACTACGTCAATTAAGCGTAAGTTGCCGGTGGATTTAGTTAGCTATTTACTCGTTATCATTTGGCTGTTTAACTAAGCTCGTTGCTACTGAATGCCATTAACATACAGACCCAGGTTCCTTTTTTTTATTTTCTTTTCCTCTTCTTCCAGGATACAGAAATTTCCCCGACGTGGGACTTCTTCTGTTAAAACGCTGATATCCACACTTTCAGCAGACAGCTTTCCAAATTAGTTCTGCGGCTAATCCTTCACATATTTTTTGTTGCACAGGATGTATTGTGCTGGAGACGATAGAGAGACCTGTCAACGGTCCAGCTTGGTATGCATACAGGACAGATACATGACAGAACAGACACTGGAGTCTCATCAGTTTAGCATCTTTATGCCTGTATGTATACACTTTTTTTTAGATGGCGAGCAGCAGGAGTGCTCTGAAGGCACGAGTGCAACAGTTTGTGGAAGAGAGGATGCAAACCACGATGGTATTAATTCCTAAATGTTAATTTATTGAACACACAGCTAATGGCAGTTTGGTTTCTATTTCCAATATTTTGTGCAGAACCCTTCTTTATGTTATTGCTGGGATTCAAGCAGTTTTCATGTTTTTAGTGGCAAAAATCTAATTGTTCAAGGCCTCAAGATTGACTTGGAACTAAAATGCATTATTCATCACAAAGTTTTTTTTGTGTCTGTTCAGCTTACAGGTGTACTGATTGGGGCGATAGTTGCAGTCTCACTCATTGGAATTGTGGTGCTCTTCTTTTACAGAAAATTTAAACTTGCTCGTAAGTCTCTAGATTTAGTCCCCAAATTTTATATTTTTCTTATACACGTTTTCCTATATTAATCCACTAAAGCAATAATAAATGTATCTGAATTTTGCATTTTGATTCTCTGTCTAAGGTGAACAGCAGCCGGGTGTGCCCCACTATCGATTTCGAAAGCGAGATAAAGTGCTTTTTTATGGAAGGAAGATAATGCGAAAGGTTTTATTTATTTTTTTTCTATATCCTTTTTCTTTATGTCCGAAAACAGATTTAGATTATTAGATTTGTTGTGTTTACTTTTGTCTTGTAATGCCTTTATCATCAAGTTTTTGTATTCTTAAGTAAATCACCATCAATTGTTTTCAACCCCTTCTACACAGGTAGTCCTACAATCAGTCCAAATACATAATTATAGAGAGTTTTAAGCTATAGAAAGTATCCAAAGCTTAAAGAACTTATGCACTACCTCTTAGAAATAAAAGGCAAGACTTTAAACTTCTAAGGCATGGCTGTCCACCCAATTGAGAGGGTGGGCAAGGATTGTATTAATCAGAGAAGCATTTAGGCAGTGCCTAAATCGCGGGGTGAATAACTTCTTACTCAGCCACTCCACAACTATGGCTCTAATTGAAAGCGCAGCTTGGAGAAAGCCTTTGTTTAAAGAAAGCTCTATGTTTTTGCAGGAAACGTGAGATACGGCACTTGTACTGCTTGTGAAAACACAGTATATATCCTTATTATAAAGCATTAAGGTGTCTGCATCATGGTTTGGGATGCTCTTTTTAAAAGAGAATAACTGCTGATAGTTGTTTACTAAGTTTTAGCTAACTGCAGGCCTGACAGAAAATCATTTAAGTCTTTAAAAAAACTCAGGACAGCAAGGTTTTACTATTCAGCAGGACAGTACCCCTAACCCTACAACTACAATGAAATGGTTTAGTCCACATCTATATTCCATGGTCTAAACATTAATATAAATGAAACAATGGTACACAATCTGTAAAACAGATTTTTAAAGACTAACCAATCTGACTGATCCTTTGTTTTTATTTTTATTTTCATTTTACTTCACAATAAAGCACTTGTGCATGTTTGTCACATAAAATTACAGTACATTTAGAGTCTGTAGATGTTGCATAACACGTAAAAATATAGTAAAAGTGTAAAATCAGTCGAAATGGAAGACAAAAGGTTATGGAAATTCCATCTCTACTTTGATTTAGTCTTCAGGATGTTTGTGTAAGGCCCTAAGAACAACAAACTTCATTGTGCTCTCTTCCATCTCTTTCCTAGGTTCAAACGTTGTCCTCTACTCCTCCCTCTTCCTCAGTGTCAAAAACACCACAGCGCATACGCAAACGAACCAAAGTTCTGAGCATAGCTCGCAGGTTTGCAGTATTTGGATATCTTAAATTAAGAGAATGATTGTATGGTGTTTCTTGTAAGTAGGGCTTTTATATCTTTGTTCTAATAGAATCCTGAGGATTCGTAAAGACCCTCCAACTCTGCAGCATAAGGAACCTCCTCCATCTTTGCTGGAGGCAGATCTAACAGAATTTGATGTGCAGAGCTCAAACCTTCCCTCAGAGGTCCTCTACATGCTAAAAAATGTTAGGTAAACAGCATTTCTATATATTTGTATCATGCACTGTAGTCTCCCTCATGGATGATTCTACAATTATTGTGTTCTCAAACTTCTTGTAGAGTCTTGGGTCATTTTGAGAAGCCTCTGTTCCTGGAATTGTGTCGTCATATGGTGTTTGTTGAGCTGCAAGAGGGGGAGGTACTTTTCAGACCAGGAGACGATGATGACAGTATATACGTGGTCCAGGACGGTCGACTTGAGCTCTGCGTTCAAGAGAATGTATGTGACCAGCAAGCACAATTCTCCTTTTTGATTAAGTTATCTTTTTTTACAAGTCAGTTTTTAGTAGTAAAGTACGACAATTTGCTTTCTTATATCAATTGGTATCGTAAGCTGGCAACTTGTCTTTAAACATTGACTTATAAATGACTGAGAACTGTCGTCAACATTGAACAGCAGAGGGCGCTGAAGTTGCGTTTAAATATAGATCCTAGGATATTTTAAAATGATTATACTGGCACATTCAAGTGAATATTGAATAGATACTCTGTGTTTATGCTTTTTTTTTTTTAAGGATGGCACTGAGCCAGTGGTGAAGGATGTCCACCCTGGAGACAGTGTCCACAGCCTGCTTAGCATTCTGGACATCATCACTGTGAGCTTTTAACTGATCTCTCATCTTACATCGGACTTTATTCTGTCCTCATTTGTACTTTCTCAGGTCAAATAGATCACTGATGCTATTTTGAGAGAAGAAATAAATGTATAATTATAAGATGGAGCAGTTTTACTTCCCTCCTCATGAGGAGTTTCTTTGAAAGGAACATGTTTTTATTTAAGTGGGAGATTCTGTATTCAATATTAAACTTTTAAAGGTGATATGAGATCATAAAGCACATGCAAGGGGGGTGAAATAAAGTGTAAAAAGAAAAAGGCTTAGAATAAAACAAATTAGACAATATCTTGCATGTTGCAAATTCAGAATTATTTTAATTATCTATCCCAACTAGATATGCACAACTCTTGGCAAAGTAGACATCTTTCTTGAATTTTTCTGCATTTTGCCTTGTTTCAACTGAAAACTTCAGTCTGTTTGGTGTAAAAAATTTTTGATACACAAACTGTATGCTGTGAATAATCGTAGAGGAAGATAAATTATACATGCTGTGAGAATCATTTTGAGACAGATGAATTTTGGCCATTCTTCCTTGCAAAAGTTGTATCATTGGGATGAGGACTAAAGTGAAAGTCAGTTTCCAAATCTTGCCACAGATTTTCTACTGAATTCTGATCTAGATATTTGCTTACTTTGCAGCTCTGCTATTAGGTTAACCTTTCTCCCAGTCTGAAGTTTTTTTGTTTTTTTTTAAGTTTCTCAAATCACCTCCACATGTAAATTAACATTGCGCTTTTGGGTATGACAATTAGAGGAAATAAGAACATGAACAGACCACAGTTTTAGTGAAAGAGACAGCGGAGATGAGCTTTTTTAAAATCAAGATGGAGAAAATAATGTTGACAAATGATGAAGTGGGATATGTTCTTAAGAGGTTTGTCGGTGGCTTATTAAAAAGCCGTTTTAATTTAGCATTAGAAGGACTATTTTGTGTCCTACCTACAGCGTTCTTTCCCCTTGGACTTATTCTTATTCTATCTTTTGCTGTGCTCCTTCAACGCTCCGCAGTTAGCCTAGCTAGCCTTGGTCAGCTGTAGCCTCTCCCTTGCCTGGCGTTGTTTCCCCGTCGGGCTTCCCTTATCTACCACTGTGCTCCTCCGCTATCCCCTTGAGCTGCATTGTCTCCCCGCTCTGGCGCGCTGTCTGCACAGCAGTCTCCTCCAATCTACTGCTGTGGTTTCTCAGCCTCATAGGGGAGCACAACCTAGACCTCATTGCGGTTATGGTGCCCTCTCTGTGTTTTTTTCCCGACTGCTTCTGTCTGAGCTTTTGCCATCCCTTGCCTCTGTTGTCGGATGGTTCGTCCCCCTGTTTTGGGCACTCTGACTAAAGTAAACATGGACCAAGTGCAGGGGAAATATTAGTGTCCTCTCAGAGAAAAACTAATCAACAGGACAATGTTCGCCACTAAAAATTGTTGGCCTTGATGATGATGGGCCAGTTACCGGTTGTGGCTGGTCCTGTAAAAATCGTCAGATTACTTTGCTGATTGACCTGTGCAAGTCTTAATATTACTTTTATTGAGTTGTAGGTATTTATACTGAGAATAAAAAACACATATCTAGGTAGCTGACATCAAGTTATACTTTTTTTTAGAGGTGTCAGCGTACAGAAGGCTATGGCATAATGGGAGCGTAGGATTCAGGAGTTCGTCCTTCAACTAGAGGGTCGCTGGTTCAAACCCCAGTTTTGTCTGTCAGTCTTTGTGTCTTTGGGCAAAACAATTCACTTGCATTGCCTGTTGATGGTCATCAGAGGGGCTTGTGGTGCCTTTATGGCAGCCTGACTTGTTTCTGTGACTCCCTGAAATCTAAAAACATCTCCTGGTAATGGATATGATGTTCACACCTTAACATCTGTTCAGTGATGTGTGCTGCTGCCAGTGATCGCCTGCTGTAAAACAGAAGGCTAGAAACAGAAGAGTATTATTCTTACATTACAGAGCAATGATGAGATCCACCTGTGACCAGATGATCTGATTTGAGCAGGACTGTGTGCATTTTTTAGTTGTATCCTAAGGCCCCATAAATTGAAACATTTTTCCCCATGGGACTAGGGTGAATATTAAAATGCAAAAAGGGTGTAAAAAATATATTCAACAAGCACTTTTCTTGCTTATTAACAGCAGCACTGCAGTTATTGGCACAGAAGTGTGCCTGCTGTCAATCAAAATACAAAGTTTGCTCCACATCTTGACCAACCTGCACACAAAGCTGTTAAAATAAAAAAGAACAGGTTAATTATTGATGAAAATGATTATGTTTAAAGAAAAAAAAATTGCAGCCACAGCAAAGACTATTGAATATTTATAACTGGGTGAGGCCAGTGAAAGGTGATTCTCTGAAAGCTGTTTGGGACATTTCCTGAAGTAATTTTCAGTTTCATAATTTGGGGCACAAGATGTAACGAAACGTGTATAAGTCAACCGCTCAAGAAATTTACAGCTGGAAAAAGGTGTCCCTCACTGTCCCCCATAAGCATTCTAATGTCCCACATTTGCTTTGTTTTATTAGACCTAGCCATCCTATCCACCATTTGCCTCTGTAATGCTGCTCCCTAGTCTTTTTGTTTGGCTGAAGACTATCTAAACCCCAAAATTGACCCAAATGACATAGATGCTTTTTCCTTTTGGGCTAGTATTATAGCAGGACCTCAGAGTATAGTAAAATATTTGCACGGAGAATGTATACCTTACAAATGACAGACAATTATTACATATACTACGAGGTCCCTAGGTATTTTTATGCAGTTCTTTAAATAAAGCGTTCAAGGTTATCATTAAACGTGTAAATTAACAGAGTGCAATAAAGCAGTGATTCCCAACAGAGGGTACTCGTACCCCTAGTGGTCCACCAGTGCGTTGCCAGAGGTACATGAAAATATTTTATTTCTCAAGTAATAAAGTAAAATAGGGCTGTCTGTTTTGCTTTGTGAGGACCCAACTAAAAGATAAAACAAGCTTTTATCAACCAAAAAGTAAGTTTTTCTTATATGTTTGAGTTCACCTTCAGCTTTGACACCAAACCAAGCAGAAGAACAGACTGGTTTCATCTGTTTTTCCACATCTGAGTTAATGAAAACAAGCTCAGGTGTCATTAATGATGAAAACAATGTAAAACAAATGGAGAGTCTGACTATAAATTTTGTTTAGTATTTTCTCAATTCCTCAAGTTTAAATGTGATTATAAGGGAGTTAATCTGAGAAGCTCCAGCCTCATAAAGGCAGATTGGATTTATTTTGATTACTCAATAGTTTCTGGGCAACATATTTATGTTTTTTTTTTTTTTTTTTTTTGAGTTGGAAGAATAACACACCAAATAGTAAAATATTTGAATTATAGAGATTAAATAAAATACTTTTATTTTATAATCTGTTATTTTACATTCCACTTTTGCACAGTTATCAATACATTTGACTGAGGGGGTACTCATGGTCAGACAAGACAAAATGCTCAAAGGGGTCCAAAAGTCAAAAAAGGATGGGAACCACTGCAATAGAGAAATCCCTTAACAGACCCTCAGAGTGACATGAAAGTATATAACAACAACATTTTCTGCAAATTAAGGCAGATGCATGTGGATAATAAGAAATAATACTAACAGTGAATTTGAGACTTTAAAGAAACCTTAAATATACAACATAATTCAATGTAACTGTTACTTCTGCTAGTTTGCTGTTTTTTTTAGTTAAATCTATTTTCTTTCTTATTTTCAGGGATATCCAGCTCCATATAAAACTGTATCAGTAAGAGCTGCGACTCGCTCCACCATCTTACGCTTGCCTGCTTCCGCCTTTGAGTCAGTTTTTAAGAAGTATCCTGAGACACTGGTGCGGGTCATTCAGGTACAGAACGTCTAACAGTGAATTTAATGTAAATAGACATCACAAATTAGATGTAATTATAAGTCTGTATAAAACATTTCTGGCTCTTTTTTTACCCTTTCTTAACTTTGTTGGATTTGCAGATAATTATGGTGCGACTCCAGAGGGTGACCTTTCTAGCGTTGCATAACTATCTGGGTCTAACAACTGAGCTCTTCAATCCGGTAGGAAGGAAATTAATTGGTGCATGAATATTTGTGTGTTTACACAGTCATGCTGAGAGGTTTACACTGAATACCAAAGCCTTGGCTTTGATCATATTCCAATCAACAAACAAACAAACATTTGCACACATGATCATTCAAAAGAAAGCTACTTATATAGATCCTTAAACACAACATCTCAGTTTGGTTATCCTTTCTCATCAAGGCAAAGTGAATAGAAATGTTTGAGAAACTTTTACAACAAAAAAGAAATTCTAAAAAAGAAAAATTCCTGTTTTTTTTATGTTTTTTTTTTTTAAGATCAGTTTTGTTAAATCATAGGTCTATCCACCTGGTTTACATTTTTAAAACTTATCTTTGGCAGGAGAGTCAGGCTGTTCCATTGTCCAATATAAGCAGTGTTATGGTGGAGGTAAATTCTGGAAAAATGCCACGTCGTCTCCACTTCCAAGAGGAGCTTCCAACAGGGACTGTTGAGACTACTTCAGAACCAGGTAGAACAATCTTTAATAAAATGCCTTCAAACATGCACACATTTGGGATAAATCTTTTCTTTTTTCATCCTTGATCTGCTGCCTAAACTCGTTTTCTTTTGAACAGAAGCCCTTAAGGACAGCCCCCTGAACAACAGCAGGAGGCTGCGGTCAGTCTCTGCACCCACCGATTGTACTGGTGGGTCGCTATATTAGTGTATATCTTTTCTTTCATCATTTTATAATGTTTCATGCTTGTAAACGCACTTCTTTATATGTCGCATAGCAGGAATTGACCTTAATATGGCTTGTGAACGTGCTCGTGTCACCATAGAGGAGGTACCATCCAGTCCTCTCGCTCAGAAAGTAAGAATTACCCCATCTGGTTCTCATCTCTTCTAATGTATCTCTGACAGGAAAAGCTTTTCATCATAAAGCTGCTGCTTCGTGCAGCGCTACAGGACATCATCTGACATAAACATCTTTCTTGTGTCTGTTTTATAGTCTACTCTGAGAAAGAATGTAACTATGCAGCAAACACCATCTGAAGTGTTTCATTATACCGACAGCGGAGGGCAGTCTGATGCCATCAACATTGGTAGGAGCAGCATTGTCCTTCAAGCTGCTAAAAAGGACTTGCTGGGAGTTATCCAGCTGCAGGTAACTGTTTCAATGCAAATGTATTTAATTCAGTTAGAAGAGTAGGGAACATTAGGTTAATTCCAATAAGGAATAAAGAAAAAAGATTTAAAAGGATTTAGTCACAGAGATTGTAGTTATGGTCTATATAATATCAAGGAAGACTGATTGGTCAGCAGACCACTATGGACTTTGAATCTGTAAAAGTCAAGGGTTTTCACTGCTGAAGCTCGCTAATAAATGGAGAGTTAAATGAAAGGAAAAACATGGTAGAAGAACTGTTCAAAGTGAAAGGATTGACGTTTTATTTTTTACATTTTTGAGGGAGATGTTCAAGGTATCGGCTGAAGCTTGAGTCAGTGCTTTAAAGCCCGCTCATTCAACTGCACCCAAGACAGACTCCAAGTGAAACATTCTTTGATTGTGGCTGCTCCTTAATTACAGACAAACATTAATACTCATGGTGTGCAAAATAAAAGAGCAAAGCCCATCAAAATGACTGAACTTGACATGTACTTTTTCAGAATTTTTGCATATATTTTTGTTTAAATATGTAATTTATGAGTTAATATTACACTCTTTGCTTTTCTTTTTTTTATGTCCTAACTGTGGCTTTGTTAAAAAATAAAACAACACACACTGTTTTGTATTTCCATGAAAAACATTCCTACAGGTTTTAATGAGCTTTTAAGGAAGAAATCCTCTGTTTCTTTTGTAGGACCCCAGTTTACTTGATGGCAGAGTGACCCTTCACCATGTGAAGGCTGGTTCTGTTGTGGCTCGTCAGGGAGACCAGGTTAGAGGAAAAAATCCTTAAATCACAGAGCTTTGTTTTAACATCTTTCATGTGCCGTTATTGTTTTCTACTCTCATTTTTAAATCTCAGCTGATGCCTTTAGTTTTGCTGTTTTTGTTTTTTGTTCGTCATATTCGCCTCAGAAAGTAGGGAACATTTTTGCCTTGTTGATTATTTCTGTTTTGTAGCTATGCTTCTGAGCGATACATCCTAAGATTTAGAAATTATCCACGAAAAACGTGGAAAATCCTCTCCTTTACCAGTCCACAAATATTTTTACTGACTATTATTTAATGTTGTTTTATAGCGTTAGGCTAGAAATCAGCATGAGGAGGGGATGTCAGGGTGCTATTGCTCAAATTTTAATCATCCAACCAATCCCCACGAAATAAAGTCAGTAGCAGAATATGTTTGTTTTTTTTTTTTGTTTTTTTTGTTTTTTTTTGTTTTTTTTAGTAGAGAGAATTTGGGATTTATTTTTTCCCAGTGCTCAAGAAAATGTACTCTACTTTTCTGGTCTAACCCCAGATGCATTTTTTCCTACAGGTTTGGCATCATTTTAAGTGAATAAATAGAATTTACAACAATATGAGATATAGTTCCAAGAAGCACTGTTGCAACACTCTCTCTAAAAAAGCCCCCAAAACAATCAAGTATATAGAATATACTCATATATTCATATACTTATATTTTATAAAAGATTATTGTTAAACTGCTGAATTTGAATACTTGACTTACTTATAGACTTGTGCAGCCGATTAGTCATGTAAAACGTTCATGAAACCTGGCTTTTCTGATTAAAGTGCTGAAATCAACTAATAGTTGATGCCTGCATCAGGTAGCTAAAAGTTTTTTTGGGGAACGCTTTCATTAAACTGCTCAGTATGAAAATTTGATTATCTAACCATAGATAATCAAACTGTTTAATCTTTTCCTTTTTCTTGTCTGTGTTTTCTAGGAAGTGAGCATTCAGTTTGTGATTTCCGGCCTGCTCCATGTTTATCAGCGAATGATTGACCGTGAGGAAGATACACGTCTGTTTGTGACGCATCCTGGAGAGCTGGTTGGTCAGCTCGCCGTCTTGACTGGAGAGCCGCTCATATTTACAGTTCGAGCCCAGCGAGACTGCAGCTTTCTCTCCATTTCCAAAACCCACTTCTATGAGTGAGCGACATGTCATTTACAATGTTAAACTGAAGCTATTCCGAGTGTGTTTTATTTAAATGTTTAGAACATGCTTTCATTTTCTCGTCCATTTCTTCCTTTAATTCTTCAGAATAATGCGCGTGGAACCAAATGTAGTCCTGAACGTGGCTCACACCGTTTCCAGGCGGATGTCATCTTTCATCAGACAGATCGACTTTGCACTTGATTGGATGGCTGTTGAGGCTGGCAGGGCCGTTTACAGGTATTCAGGCTCAAATTTGTTTCATTTGTAGAAACATTGCCTACTTTAGTGAGCAGAGTTGAAAATACAAGTTAACAAATTAACCTACCGTAATTAAACTAAATTGTCTTTAATTGCACAAAATGAATGTCCTTTTGTTTAATTTTCTAGGCAGGGGGAAAAATCAGACAGCACTTTTATAGTGCTGAGTGGCCGACTCCGCTCTGTGATCTTGAAAGAGGATGGCAAAAAGGAGCTGATAGGAGAGTATGGCCGGGGAGACCTGATTGGTGTGGTAAGAGATGAGGCAGAGTGACCTTTATATGGTAAATCTGGGTAAAAGCTTAGCATTGTTCTTCTTAGTATCAAATAAAAACATTCAGATTTTCCACCATGCACAATAACAAAGAGGTTAACAAGTTTACATACTGTAGTGCAGCAGCTAGAGCAAAAGGAAGTATTTTAGGGTCTCTACATCTCCGTAATCGATAACAGACACTTTTCACAAATATACCCATGTACTGAAACTGTGCGCTTTGATCATGAGTTATTTTGGCTAAACTGCATTTCATTAACAAATATATATGTTTTCATAAGCCTTTAATTTATGCCCGTTTTGAAGTATGTTGAAGAATCCTCAATGCCATCGTCTGGTTTCCCTTCCAAAGGCCATAGGAACCTTGTTAAAGGTCAGACCTTCTGCAGAGGTTGTTTAAAAAAAATAAACCAGTATCTGCCTGAAACTGTTCTTAAAAGAAATGTTTAAACATTGCTCTCTCTCTTTACCCTCTAACCTTGTAAAATGCTATTGAAAAAGACTAAGAATTGATTTTTTGTTAGAAGGGGTTTGTAAAATAGTTACATTTTTAATGTGGGAATTTCAGGCGTCTTCGAGGACAAGATTGTGGGATCAATTCCAGCTTCCTCCTGTCATGTGCTTATGCCCCTAGGCAAGGCACTCAGGCCAAGGTTTTCTATTTCAGTTTTACATATTAGTAGGTATATATGTGTGCAGTTGGGTAAATGTGGGTAACATGTGAAGCACTTTACATTTAATTTTCAATTTTTCTTTAATGACAGATGTCAACAAATTTAAAAGGAGAGGTTTTAGAATATTTATGTATACAAGTGGATTCTTTTTTTTTTAAATATGGTGGGTATCAAAGGTTAAAGTATCATTGAAAATATTTTCTTTTTCATTTATGTTATTTTAAAAAATGACATGTCGAAAAAATATGTAGATCTTTTTTCAGTAATCAATGAAAAAGCTCTATCATTATAGAAATCCCTTTTTTTTTTTTTTTTTTCTCACCAGCTTTTAACATGTTAAGCTTAACAATTATAGCTAAAGCATTAATACCAATACTATTTAAAGAGTGACACCAGGACTACTTTTCTCAAGTTAAACTCCTTGGTTACCTTTACCTTTCCTCCCACTTGCTGCTGTGACGGGCACAGCCACAGAGCTTCTAATAATACCTGAGCTGACAGATGCTATGGTTACTGCTGCTTGAAGGAGGTTAGCTGTGATTGCAGCTGTTGTGATAGTGAAAATAAGGACGCAATGAATGTGTCTAACACTAGAAGACATACTTAGCCTCACTGTGTCGACGTCAGTTTTTCTTGATGAAACTAAAGCAGCAACTTTTATAGCTTCATTTTCACCTTTTTTTTATTTCACGGTGTGATATTTCAACAACAGTCAAAAGATGTTTAAAGCTCTAACTCATTTATATCTTAACAAAGATGTTAAGATCACAAAATATAAATCCCTGTGGTCTAAATGACCTTTTTTTTGACAGTTTGCTTTGGTCCAAGCCTCTTTACGATAAAAAGGTGTAAATACTTGCCAACCTGAGAACTTAAGCACATAAGACATTTTCTAGCAATGACACTTCTGCCTATGTGGAATCAGGAAACCACAATACTAATGCTAATAATTATGACTATCTTCATTGACCCACATTATACACACTCTTCTTTTCATTTGCCATTACTTAGTTTCCCCATTAGGAGATTTTTTTAACATCTCAGTCATCAAACATTTACACCAGATATGGGGATTCAGGAGGTTTAGATTTCATCATATTTTCCAAATAGATGTATATCAGTTTATATGCATGTATCGATGATGCTTAAAATATAACATTCTATAAAGTATTGTTGCCGCTTGTGATTGCAGTATTTCCTATACTGATACTAAAATGACAACTGAGACATCTTGTTGTATATAATGCACACATTACTACAGTTGTTTTTTTTGTTAATTGTTTTTTGTAATCAGTGTAGCTGATTTAACGAGCAACAAATGTCTCTGCAGGTGGAGGCCTTGACCCACCAGAACAGAGCCACAACTGTTCACGCTGTTCGAGATTCAGAACTCGCCAAGTTACCAGAGGGGGCGCTCAACTCCATCAAGAGGAGGTTCCCTCAGGTACTCTGGATCTAAACTGTAGTTAAAGTTCAACTTCTGTTTAAAATAAAAATAAATAATATTCCTGGAGAGAAATATCTAGATGTATGGAAAGATGAGTTTTTCTCAGGGTTAGCTACTTCTGATGACGGGGATTGTACTGGGCTTGTCCACACACTGACTCGAGACTTTTCTACAGTCTAAACTAACATTCAAATCTTGTAGGTTGTCACCAGGTTGATCCATTTGCTTGGTCAGAAGATTCTTCAGCAGGTCAATGTTCCTCTTTCAGGTGTGTGATTGGTCAATAATCTTGCCTTGTTATTGTTCTACCAGTAGACATGCTGGTTGCTTTCTGTGTTTAGATTTAGTTGAGTTGTGTCAGTGCTTCTACTATTATGTAACACTCTTAGTTGACTTGCTTATGATTCTGTGATATGTCTTCAGCTCGTAGCTTGGCACTTCACACTCCAGGAAGCAAATTGGATGCAGGGAATCAAGCCTCCAACCTCTCAACTGTTACGGTTCTTCCTGTATCAGAAGAGGTGCCTTTGACTGCCTTCACCCTGGAGCTACAGCATGCCCTCCTTGCTATTGGTAAACAAAGACATTAACTTTTGTAATCTAAGGCTATTACTGATAGGCTAGTACTGGTTGATAAATGAGCACAAAGCCGATGAGAGGAAAACACAAAACCAGTCTTCTTTGAAAGGAGATCTTCTTTGTCAGCAGTCGCTGAAATTGCCGATTCAAAAGTTGGCTTATAAAAACTGGGGACCACTTCCCTAAACGCTTTTCTAAATTGTAAAGCTGAGAATTAAAAAAACTTGATCAGATCAGAATCAGAAATACTTTAATGATCCCAGGGGGAAATTATCTTCATTACACACTCCAGGTATACAAACAGCATATTTGTATATATACACAACATTCTACACAAAAAAAATGAAAATAAATAAATATATATATATATATATATATATATATATATATATATATATATATATATATATATATATATATTTATTTATTTATTTTTCATTTCATTTTTTTCTGTACACCTAGCTAATCTGACTCAGATTTAAAGAATTATTGCTATTATAAATTTTTATATATATATATATATATATATAAGTTATAATAGCAATAATTCTTTAAATCTGAGTCAGATTAGCTAGGTTTACAGATTATCTATACACTGTAAACATCCTCTGCTGTAATCTGTAGATCAGCCTTTTTATAGTATTTCCTTTTACTGCAGTTATCTTAAGTGATGTATTTTTAGGGTTGGAGTAGAGCAAAATGTGCAGTTGAGCTGTTTATCATTTAAACTAGTTGGGCAATTTGAGAAAACTGTGAGCTTAAAGGTATTGTGGAGGATTTTTTTGAAAAGACTTGCCCTCTCTACTTAAAAAAAAAAATAATGCATGTGCGCAACTCTGTACTGAAGGAACGTCTATCAAACGCATACACAAGCCAATTTCTCCTTGTACATGCTCTATTTAAAAGTTTCTGTTTGCATCGCTCATACAAGCTTTCTTTCCAAAAGAGGATTTGCAATTTTTCCACTATGTCAGACTCACTACCGGTAAGTGAAAATGGGGACGAACACGTTGGATGGCCACTTACTTTGATGATCCACACTGAAAAAGAACATCCTCCACTATACCCTTAAGTGTGCAAACTTTTAAGTTAATATTTTTTCTTTAATACTCTTTTAAATTAAAGCATTCAGTCTTTTTGCAGTTCTAAATTACTATTTTATCATAGTTGTAAAGCTGATATACAAATAGAACCTTTGTTAGTTGAATATTGCCAAGTTGTGATGAAGAATGCTGAAATATCCCTGCTGGATGGGAAGGAAGGATGGGAAGTGTTACTTAACAAAGTATTTGGGTCTGTAGACTTTGCATACTAAGTCAGACACCAGTTGAGTGAATGTGATCTGATGTCACACAGGACCAACTCTTCTGTTGACAAGTGAAATTATCAAACAAAGGCTTGGAGCTGCAGCACTGGATAGGTAAGTTTTTACGCTCAAATTTATGGGAGAGGTTCCAATATATACTTTTTATGCTTTATGTTTCCCAGAGCATATATTAGATATAGAAACATAAAGACTTCCCCCACTGTTGCTCTTTCAATTATGTTTAACTATTTTTTTAAAGGCACAAGAGAAAAATAGATCTGCAGTTCACTTTATTAATAGACTCTCATCGTCTTCAGTGTCCACGAGTACCGTCTTTCCAGCTGGCTGGGCCAACAAGAAGACATCCATCGCATAGTTCTTTATCAGACTGACTCCACATTGACCCCGTGGACTCAGCGGTGCATCCGTCAGGCTGACTGCATCATTATTGTGGGACTAGGGGAGCAAGATCCTGCTGTTGGGGAGGTGAGATGGAAAGAATGGGCAGCAAGAGATGAGCTGGAGGTCAAAGTTATATTTGTAAAAAAGTTGTTTGCACATTTTTTCTATTTTTATGGATGCATACAAGCACATTTGTATGTTATTAATATGATTTAAATAACAGTTAAATTATTTAGCAACTTCAAAGAAGTACGTAATCTAAAATTTGATATGGAGTACCAGGATAAAGGCAAATTGTGGCAAAATCCTTTTTTCCTGCAGTAATTTTGTACCGACAGCCAGAAAGGATCTAGAATTAAACTCATCCCAGTTAGAAGCTGAAATAAAAAAGATGATTCATATTTTTGTATTTTCTGAACAATTTCGGTATTTTATCCATAACATTCTGAATATATCAATCAGCTTTACCATGAATCTCTTGTCTGTGTCATGAAGGTCACTTCCAAACATTATTCAGTCGATTCAGGTTGGGCCCTTCATGTTTAAACATTGTAATGGCTGAACTGTCTCCGGGTGACATGCATTTGAACCTTTAGCAAGCTTTGAAAAATGAGCAAAGAACTGATGGATGTGAAAGAGAATCAAGGTCTCCAAGTGCACGTATGACTCATGAAGGAGAAGTGATCTCTTCTAAAGTGGAGCGGAAAAAGGAATGAGCCCTTGTTGACCAGGAAATTGAAGAATGAATCACAAGAGAGATCAATATTTACCCAAATTCAAAATGAGTTAGATCTTTGGCTTTATTTTTTCCCTCTTAGGGTAAAACACTTCTAGAAAAAAAAAAAAAATCACATTCTGCTCTTAACACTCTTAGCAGAGGAGGAAAGGGGATACCGATAATCTGATCTAAAAATAATCAGATTTCCTTTAATCAGAATGTTAAATGTTAATAGTTAATAGGATAAAGTCAGTGAGCCTAAATGCAAATATTTAGTGGAATGTATATTTTTGTTATATGTTGTAAAACATGATTATTTTACAGCTTGCTTCACAACTTGAAATTTGTTGCCCTTTGAATTAAGATCACCTCTCAGATGATTGAAATCTAAGCTAGTTTTTAAAAGCAATATATGTAAATTGCCATTTTTGTTATGAAAGTTGGTAAAGAAAAATTATGGACTAATTGGATTTGTATGGGAAAAAATCAAAGATTAGAAGCCATTTCCCCCAGAACTGTTTTTTTGAGCCAGTTCTTTGGATTCTTGGAGCTGATTCTGCTTTTCCTTTATTTACATAAGAATAACACAATAATGTAAAATGTTAAACAAGTCTCAATTTAAACTAAACAAAAATCATGTAATAATAAACTAACTAAACATTAAACATGAATAGAAAAGGCAGGGGAACAGCAATGTGTATGCTTCAGAGGGCATGGCTACTGGATTCACTATGTAAAGGGCGACTCATGCAGATATCGACCAATACCAATGCAAGAAAACAAACTGCAATATCAGCCAAAAATATTGGCCGGCCAATGTATCAGTCTATTTCTAGTTTAGATCTTTAGAAAAGCATGCTAACCTAATACGTGTGGCTTTGCCCTGAGGGACAAAATAATTCAACATCCAGAGATCACCCTTGCCATCAAAGAAGTCTCATTGATTTTTACTGTATGTTTCTTAGTTGCCCTATGTTATTTGTAGCATTTCATAGGTAGAAATACAATTTGCCTGTTTAAACCTGAGGTCCTTCCTCATTCTGTACAAATTTTATAAAAAGAAAATTTCACCCAATGCCCAAAGCATTTATAATTCCATTTGTACCAGCATCAGAAGGAAAAAAGTGTCAAACTTAAAGCTCAGAAACATCTGTGGTCTTTTCCTCTCTTCCCCCAGCTGGAGCGCATGTTAGAAGGAAGTGCAGTGCGGGCCCAGAAGCAGCTGGTGTTGTTACACCGAGAAGACGGCCCTCCTCCCCAAGGGACTGTGAACTGGCTGAATATGCGTAGCTGGATCTCCAGGCACCTCCACCTCTCCTGTCCCAGAAGGGTCTTCTCTAAAAGGAGCCTTCCCAAGCTGGTTGGAATATCTCATTTATCAAAGCTTAGTATCGCAACCACACTTTGAGCTTATAGTGTTCTCCACTTCATCCATTCCCTTTTCTTTCTTTCACTTATTTTCTCTGCTTGCATTACTTTTCTTTTCTTCAGCTAGAGCTGTACCAGCGTGTGTTTGAGAAGCCTGCAGACCGCCACTCTGACTTCTCACGTCTGGCTCGGGTTCTCACTGGTAATGCTATTGCTCTCGTCCTTGGAGGAGGAGGGGCCAGGTAAAATTATTTCTTAACTGATCTTATTACATAAACAGATGGCAGTCTGTGTCATGTTTCTTGTCGTCTCGCTCTCCTAATCAGGGGTTGCTCGCAAGTGGGGATTATGAGAGCACTCTGTGAGGCCGGTATCCCGGTGGACCTGATTGGTGGGACTTCTATTGGAGCCCTAATGGGGGCTCTGTATGCTGAGGACCGCAGCCTGAGCCGCATGAGGATTAGAGCCAGAGAATGGGCAATGGTGAGAATCACCTACATGCTGTAGATGAGCTTTGATTCATCAGTCACACAATACAATCTAAGGGTTTTCAGAGTGTTACACCTGTCTTGTGTTATCTGGCTTTAGATAAGTGAGGCTCCTCCTGTTCACATATATGTTTGGAGCACTCAAAGAATGAGATCTTAGATCAGTCCACTGCAGTCTTTTTGGCTGAGGACCACATGAGGTTCCCCCTAGGCCTCTAAAAATAGTAAAACTCACCAGTGAGCTGTGTCAAAAATATTTGTTATTTTTCTTGCTCTTATTTTTCAGTATGACGATCATCAAAGTAAAAAGAAAACTGTATTTTTATATATTTTTTTGAAGGTCCCAGTTGTATCTTTTACCACTCAGATATTTATGCTTATAACTTTATCATTTGCCTTTTACTCTGCCAATAGGAAATGACATCAACATTTAAGAAGGTTTTGGATTTCACATGTCCTGTGTCATCCATGTTTACGGGTGCTGGCTTCAACTCTAGCATCAGCAACGTGTTTCAAAGCAAACAGATTGAGGTGAGCATAATTTTATTTTTTTAAAGGAAGCATCAGGGTGTAGAGCAGAGGTCATGGATTCGCGGGCCGTGGTCCGGATCCGGACCCACCTGCTGGCTAATCTGGACCCAACCTGATTCAAAACATTTGTAAATTACCTCATGTTGTTTGACGACATTGTCTAACTTTACTTGCGTAGTTTTTCTTGTTAATATGATAAAGCCCTCCAGAGCCTCCGGGACCAGGCTACAAGTGATACAAATTAGCCAATGAGCTGCGGTCAGTCTGGGTTGCTGCTGCTGGGAAAAGTGTAGACCATGGGCGTAGGTTTGCATAGGGACCATAGGGACATGTCCCTACCAAAATTTTGAACCGACCTAATTGTCCCTACCAATAATTGGATTTGAGCAACATGTTTATAATTTACAGCAGTAGTTGTTGCAGCAGTGGCTTCTTTTCCTCTCGCAGCTCCTCTGCCTGTTCTCTCCTGTCCATTTTACGTAGCAGTGCATGGAACTGTGCTGCGCTGTTTAGCTCCACTCTCATTGGTTGTTCTGCCTTAGGTCCCGCCTTCTCTCTCTCTGATAGGCTGTTTTCTAGTCCGTCTGTGCTTGGAGCACAACATTGAAAATTTATTCACACTAGAATGCCGCGGTTACTGCAATTAATATTAGACTGCAAAACTAGTCCCAATAAAAAAAAAAATAAGGAATATCATGTGCACTAAAAAACCTTTTTCTTTTTTTTCTTTTTTAAAATGAAATATTAAAATGAAATAACCAGGAGTTCTGAAGACTGCTGGAAAAATGGGCAAATAAAGGCTGTAAGCCATCAACATTTCTGATTCTTAGCCACAGCCAATTAAGAAAGAAATTGTGAGGGTTTCCTTTTTACCGATATTTAGTTGCTATTACTGTTTTCATTTTTTGATGACTCTTTCAGGTATAATTATTAGCAGGTGTTATTTCTTTTATAGAGTAGCCTATAACAACAAGAAATGGTGCCTAAGCATCTGCTATTTTTTGTTTAAAAAGCATAATTAGGGTTCCACATAATGATAATAATTTAATTGACTTCTAGAAATAGGATAAAGACAAGAACAAACAGAGGAAGAATATTAACATTGATTTTATCTTACATAGATTTCCACACAGTCTATAAGTAAATTAGTGCAATGTCTGGTAAAAATGCTTGAATCTGACTGTTTATTTTGGATATTATTAAATTACAGATAAGATAGTGTTATATTGTCTTTTATAATTGTTAAAAGTGATTTTATATTTTAATACACTTAGGCTCATGCTCAGTGTTGTGTTTGTAGATGATGCCACTAAAAAAGAAAATAGACATAAGGAGCTATTTAAACAGTCAGACAGTAAGCAATGTAGGACAATGATAAAAGGTTGTGTTACATTATATGATTATAGGAAACACAGATATCCAGTAATAATGATGCAGGGCAGCTTGTAGAGCAGCTGGCCCTTCAGTGCTTCAGGTGATGTCTAAATAAACCAGGTGATACTAAAATATTTCCTCTTGATGAGTTCTGGATGAAGAATATTGACAGACAAAAACATTTTTTTTTTATCTTATATATTATATATATATATATATATATATATATATATATATATATATATATATATATATATATATATATATATATATATATATATGTTGTATTTTTAAAATGTTGGTATAATTACTGATCTAAGTGGGTTGCTCTGTCGGAGAAAGGCATATTTTACATTTTTATTATGTTTTAGAGTCTCTATTCTCCAGTTAATGATGAATCACTCACTAAATTAGTTGATTATTGAAATAATCAATTAATATGATTCATTTTTCCAGTCCCAGATAAAATACATGAAATGGGCTACACAGAGTAACTACAGCCCAGATGTTCCACTTTTATAGTGAAGTTAATATTTTAATGAATGTATTATTTTGCTTGATACAGAGAGAGCATAGTAGGTAAAAATATAAGAGTGGGGTTTAACTCTGCACAATTCTATATCTTCAAAAGAAAATACTGTATTTACCTTCTCTCTTAGTCGTTCAAATGAAACCATTTTCAAAGTGGAAAACAGTTCTAATTCCACATTGATCAGAGCCGGTGATACTTCAAACATTAATATCTAATTGAGCATCTAATGAGAGTAGTGCTTATACAATTTTTATTAATGTAGCAAAATTATGCTTTTCTATTTTAACAATGAATTCCTCTTATCAGTACGGATCCTCACACCATGCATAAAAAAAGGACATGCATATTGCATAGCACCAATGACAACCGACTGATACTGTCCCTACCAAAGTTCAAATCAAACCTACGCCCTTTGTGTAGACTGCTGGAAGTAGTGTGGTGAACTAGTGAAAGAAAAGTGAAATGGTGTACTCAAATATGACCCTGCACATTTTGAGTGTGTTTGGCTCAACCTACTGCTGTGAAGCAGGATTCTCCATCATGAAAATATTCAAAAATAAATGATGATCCAGGCTCAAGAATGAGCACCTTGATTTGTACTTGAGAATGGCTTTGTCTCCATTCAAACAGAGTTTTAAAAGACTTGCAGGGCAGCCTAAAGCCCACTGCTCTCATTAAGCCAGAAAAAAGAAAAACAAAATAACAAACGGTCAGTTGAGGTCTTCTATAGAATATGTGAATCAGGAAATTGTCTATTTACCAAACTGAATGATTGTTGTCCTCTACTTCAAAAAACACTTTAATTTTAACATTTTAAAATGGAAAAATGTTCTATTCTATTCTTTTATATTTTTTTATTTAAAAATTCAATGTATAACATGAATGCATAAAAACCTCCTTTTATTTCAGTGTTAAATGCTGTTTAGATTAACAGATTCTAATTAAAAATGTCTCCGGACCTTTACTGGTTGGTTTTCTTTATTCAGACCCCGCTGATTTTTAATTGGTTACCCCCAGTCTAGAGTTTCATCTGAGGACCATCCTTACCTAATTACTGTTTCACTCTTTTAATGAGTTTTTTAACTATTGTTTTTGAAATGCAGGACCTTTGGATCCCATATTTCAACATTACCACAGATATCAGTGCTTCAGCCATGAGGGTACACACTGATGGTGAGTGTTGAGTTAGTGTTGGAGTTTCTCTCTCTCCTAGTTTTTCTTTGTCTTTTAACTTAGCTCTTCTAACTGAAAATTTTCCTCCTTTGGCAATTATTTAACCCAAAAATTAAAGACTTTTTTTTTTTTTTTTTTGTGTAGTTTACCTTTATTTGAAAACATAATATGCATCTCACCTGAGTTTAGGTGCGTTTCTTTAAATATATAATGTGTTGCCTTCTCACTTACTGACACCGTATTAAAGATGTTGACAAAAACCTTTAAAGAATTGTTGTAAACCTATATTCTATTTTTATTAAAGATATTTTACATCTCTTACTGTTCCCTTCCCTGTGTGTAGTGAAAAGTTAAACCTGGATCTTTATCTCATTTTAAGCATACAATTGTTCTACTGTACTTATAAATGGTAAATATAAAAATTTAAATATATTAGTTTTATAGGAACTGGTAATAATACTTCAATTCAATTGATTTTTATAGTGTCAATTTACAACACATGTAATCTCAAGGCATTTTACAATTCAACCAGATCATCCTATCAGATTGGTTCATAGTTTTGTATCTAAGGAAAACCAGCTGATTGCATCAACTCATTCACTAAAAGGCAATCCCTCACATCAATCATGCTTGCAGCGACTGTGGAGAGGAAATACTCCCTTTTAACAGGGAGAAACCTCCAGCAGATCCAGGCTCAGTGTGAGCGTCCATCTGCTGAGGGAGCATAATGTTGGAGAATGAACTGCAGAATGGGAGAATAGATAATAAATGTAAACATGTTTTTCCTTAATTTGAAATATACAGTTTAAAAAAAAAATTCAATTGAAGTATTTGAATTGGCTTTAAAATATTTTTCAATTTGAGATTATGCTGTTTGAATGAATATTTTTTTAATATTGAGGCTTTTTACATCTCTTTAGCAGGAGGGGCAGTAAATGTACAGGGATGTAGTTTCTGAGGCAGGGTTTCTAAATGTCCTGTTTGCTGGTTAAGGTTCCCTGTGGCGGTACGTTCGAGCCAGCATGTCTCTCTCAGGATACCTGCCTCCTCTTTGTGATCCCAAAGATGGACACCTACTGATGGATGGAGGCTACATCAACAATCTGCCTGGTTTGTTAGACTCCTTCATTTATCACCATATTCAATATGTTATTCCTGTACCTTAATATATGCATTTATAGGGAATTATATCTACATATCTTTTATGTTTCCTGGTAATGTTTGTTTCTTTCTCTTTTGGGCTGCTTTCGATTTTTTTCCAGCGGATGTGGCGCGCTCCATGGGGGCCAAGGTGGTGATAGCTATTGATGTGGGCAGCCGGGATGAAACAAACCTCACTAATTATGGCGATTCGCTCTCAGGCTGGTGGGTGCTATGGAAACGCCTCAACCCCCTGGCAGAGAAAGTGAAGGTGATGAATTTATTAACGAATAAAAACGCAACAAGCTGTGGGAGGAGGTTTTGGAAAAAAAATAAATAAACCAGGTCTATGAATAACAATGAGGATTATTTGTGGCGGTGCCTTTGGTTTGATCATTAAGTCGATTTCAACAGGTGCTGAATATGGCAGAGATTCAGACGCGGCTGGCTTACGTATGCTGCGTGAGGCACCTGGAGTCTGTTAAAAGCAGCGACTACTGCGAGTATATCAGGCCCCCAATCGACAGATATCGGACCCTGGAGTTTGGAAAATTTGATGAGATAGCTGTAAGTTTTAGGCACAGTTTGCTCTCTTTAATCGAACTCTCCTCAGGTTATAGCTCCCGATGCCCCATTTTTTTTTTATTAACCTAACATTGGTGTCTTTTTATGATTTATTCTTTCAAATCTGTGCATGTTTGTGTTGTGTTGTAGGAAGTGGGCTACCAGCATGGTAAGACCGTGTTTGATGTGTGGAGGCGGAGTGGCGTAGTGGAGAAAATGATGAAAGACCGGCACCAAGAGGAGACACACAACACCCAATGCAAGAGCAATGTACGTGAGGGGATGTGATAAATATAGGCAACATACTTTACATATGTGAAAATTACACCTTAATTGGAGGTTAGGTTTTGATGCCACAGCAAGTAAGCTGCATTTTCCCACATTTAGTCTCTACAGCTAAGCTAAAGTAATTATAAAGTTTATTTAGTACAATTAAGATAACCCTCTCGCTGTTGGCAAATGATTCAAGTTTACTTTTTTATTGATCGAGCTTAAAAAAAACAGCGTTGTCTTAAAAAAATGATCAATTAATCCAGTAGAAAAAAGGCAAAATTGTGATGTAAACAAATAAAAAATGGATTCACACTTCCTTATTTTAGCTTGATTTAGTTAAGTCAATGTGTTGTTTTTAAGTGGTAAAACACCTTAGACTTGAATACTTAAACATTTAAGATCTACTGCATTTGTTTAAATGAATAAAGTGGGTAAAAGTATTAAATAGAAAATAGTTTGGAACCATAAAGCCCAACCTTTAACCTTACATTGTATAAGAAAAGAAAACTATCAGAACTTGACATGTTTTCTTTTAAAATAAAAATTAAATTATTTATAATGTGCTGCCTGCTGTAGAGGGCCACACATTTAGCTCTAAGATGCTTTTACTTATTGATCTGCTTGGCAACAAAACGTTGGGCTGCAGGCGGTCACGTCTATTCAGCATCATTAATATTAAGCTTAGAAAAGCTGCGGGAAATAGAAAGTATCTTAGCAGAACTGAGGTGTGCGTCCACAGTTCAGTTCTGTGTGGCAGGAAAAAGCTATTTAAAATAAAAGTTGACCTTTTTCTCAAGTCATCTGGAAAAATAATTGATGAAAAAAAAAATGTGATTCTCAAACAAGGCATCATGTTACATATACTTTAAGCCATCGTTTTTGTTTTCACTATTGCATTTTAACCACACAGTGACAAGTTTTTTACTTTAAATGACTTGATCTCTATTAAATTAAATATTAAATGACTGATTCACTATTTAAAAATTCATTGCCTGAAAAGGAGGTCAGCATCCTTACCAGGAAGTCATTTTAATTTTAGAACCTCTGGGAATAATGTCGGTTTTTGGGCAAAGTTTAGAGTTGACTTGGCCTGATAAAGGATTTTAGCTTTACTTAAGTCACTGTAATGCCACAAAAAATCAGGGATTACCTCCATTGTCAAATCAAATCCTTCTCTAGATTAGACTTTTAGAAATGGTTAGAAAAGCCCACATTCTTACACAATCAAATTTATTTACTTCAAATGTTAATATAAAGTGATGCAGGAACGTTAGTAAAACAAAGGGATAGAAATTGATCATGTGAAATACAGCAAAAACAAAATGGCAGAAAATATGCGCACCTGATTTAAAAATGGAAACAAGAATGAAGCTTTTGTTAGGGGTTTGAGATTTGAACAGTTTGGCTGTCTTCTGACCAACTACCATTTTTTATTCTTTAAACAACAGCCTGCCCACACAGACATTTAATGATGTCTTGCTATTTTCAGATACTCTTGTAGGATGCATCTCAAGGGAAACAATGCACGTCTTCCACTTAAAATGCATATTGTTGAACAAAATTCCAAAAAAATAACAGAAGCAAAAAAGTGAGATTTGGATGATAAAATGCATCTTTCAATTAAACCCCCTTTGAATTGAGGTGATACTCAAACTTCTGCATTAAATTTTAAATGACAGATGACGGCTTTCAGCACAAAACAAAAAGGGCATGCATTGTGCCATCAGGTTGTCGTTCCCATACATGTCACTTTAGGCTGCTAGCTGATGGCTAAATGAGTTTGAGGTTGAAGAAGTCTTGTCAAAAAATAATTTTTTGTTGAATTTGTGTCTCTCTCAGGTGATGACATGTCCAAATGCCTCCTTCACTGACCTTGCAGAAATCGTGTCTCGGATTGAGCCTGTCAAACCTGCGCTGGTGGATGGTATAACTCCTGACACACATTTCTAACAATCCTGTCCCTCAAATAGTTTTTATTTTTACTCATCAGAGGAAATCGATTGGTTACCCAGTGCATAATAATTAAATTTATAAATGTATTTTAACTGGAAATAAAGAAATGAACTGTTTTAATCTTTTAAATGCAGCATTTCTTTGAAAATAATACCAAAAAATTATCTATAAGCTTCTAAGTTCTTCTCTTGGGAGTGCTATTTTCTTACCCAGATTTTTTTGGTGCTATTTGAGTTCTTATGGGGTTATTTTCCGGGGGATTTTGAATTTGCCACATTATCTCCTTCTTAATTCACTTATTACATCCTTTTCACCCACAACCTGCTTCTGTTCTCCCCGTCCTCCACTGTTTCCCCTCATCAGAGGAGTCAGACTATCAGACTGACTATGAAGAGGAGGCATTGGAGAGTGCACTTTCTGACATGGAGATGTACAGTCACTACGGGGAGGAGACGGCTGACACGGTGTGAACCACTTGTAATGACACTGGAGGGTCTCTCTTTCTAGTCCTAATATTAAACACTGTTCCCATTTATAACCGTAGACTAAACTCTCTTAACCCAATGAATATTCATGGTTTCACCTAATCATGTTTGTAAATCTGGTCTTTTTTTCAAACATCATTAAAAATGCCTGCAGAGATTTTTAATCTCTTTTTTTTTTTTTTTCCAGAGATGTCCTGGTCCAGTACTATTATCAGAAAATCAGTCCAATATTAGCAAGATAGAAATGAATATCTGGTTCTATTGATCTGCTTCTAAAATATATAATTCCAATATAAGCAAACTGATAGAGGCACAACATTCCAGTGTTTCTATCCAGCAATGCGGCTCTAGTTCTAGTTAAAATCTGACAGACATTTCAGCTGAGTTCAGAACTAGTCATGCACAAGTTTTCTATCTTCTAATTTGGGTGTTTTTTTTCTTTTATTCAATTGTAGTCATAAGTCATATTCTTATAAGTATATAAGAACTGACCGTATAGGTAGGTTCAGTTCTTCTCATCAGTAGTATTGCCAACAACTGTTTTCAGATTAATAATACTTTAACAAGGTGTTCAACATTCCACACAACCAAACACGTAATAAAGTGTAATAATTTGAGCTGATCTTGTCATCAGTCAATAATCAGAGCTGTTCTATCAGTGTCATATTGGATATGGAAAAGTTTTTGGGGACATCTCTTCCAGCAGGTTCATTTACCAAACATAAGAGATTATTGCTTGTAACATAATGTGCAAATTAAAAGTATGTGATCCACAAAAGTGTCACCAGATTACATTATATGATGGCCGTTCTGTGAATCATAGCAGTGAATGAAAGGAACTAAAAGTCTCACTCTGCTCTGCTTGGAAAAATCAAAAAGGTTTCAACATACCTTAGTAATTTATTTTATTCTGCTCAAGTTTTCCTGTTTTTATTGCATTAAATATGTTTGTTGTATATTTACAATTTTAACCATATCTCTACCTCTTCTCTGTCAGGATGAGGAACAGGAGAGGAAAAGACTGACCCGTGGGCAGCCTTCAACCCTCTCCTCCAATTCATAGGAGCAACAAAAATGTTCCAAACAAGCCATTAAGGAAGCAGCAGTCTGAACAACACCCAAACAGGTCACAAATATTCCGCCGCATTTTACCCTCCTCTGTCCCTCACAACTCCAACATGTAATTGTGTGCAAAAAACTGCTCTAACCTCTCCAACCTGTGGTAGATGTGTTTCTGGGACTCATTGCTATTCACTAGTTTACCAGGCAGCTCCTAAACCAATCTCTCATATTGAGATAGTTGATGTGACTTCTGAAAGCTTTAAGTAAATCACAGCTTTTCAGTGGAAGGTAAGCAGACGGGTGACGACCCTATTTCCATGAAATAGTCATCACTAAGGCCAAGTTAAAAAAGTAAATAAAAAATCTTTCTTGAAACTGTGGACATTTGAAGTAGTTAGGGATTCCCAAGTCAGAGTTATGTGTTTGTTATTTTGTGCTTCCTTATAGCTGTTTTTTTTGCACAAATGTTGTCAATTGTGATTATTCACTGGAAGTATCCCCCTCTGTGGTATTGCGCAGAAACATAAACCTCAAATAAGACATTTTACATAAAGAGTAGAGGGTGAAAGGAAATAAATATAGTCATTTTTTGCCTTCATTTTTTTCTTTTCTTTCTTTTTCTTTAAGTATAAACAGTTTCAGGTCTGTATGTGTTTCAAAGTAAAGCATCTAACCCTCTGATCTGAGTGTCATGGGCACCAGTTAGATTTTTTAGGATGCTTAATGTAGCCAAAAACCTTTGGCTATACAAGCTTTCAGCTGACCTTATATAATTGTTACCAGGGTTCCCTCAGTGGGTAGGTTAGTCGTTAAGCTGTTGTCTGTTTATCATTTCCTATGACTTCAAACCTTAGCCATATGGCATCATATTACTCGAATGGATGGATCATATTGGAGTTGACCAAGAATCTGTATTTAATTCAACTGACTGTCATTAAAGTTATCTATAATATTGTTACACTTGACTGAAAATTGTGTAAAGATGAAGGGCAAATAACTCATCTAAAAACAGAGTTGATTTTGTTTAAAAGATAAAATAAGCTCTGCTTAGGAGGTTGCTTTGTGGTGACTTTTTTTTTTTTTTTTTTTAAATCACCATGAGGGGAAAAGTGCAGAAACATACAGCTGGCAGAGCAGAGAAATGTCATCTTAGTCTTACAGAACCAGTTACATTGATTTATTCATGTTAGCACTGATTGATTCACCTGCCAAACAAGCAGAGCACAAACCTTTATGGAACCTTTTTGGATTTATGTTTTTTTTTATTTTTAGGCAAATTACCGAAACTCCTAGAGCAGACTTTTTTTTTAGTTTTCCTTCTTCAAATTAATTTCAATTTAATCAGAAAGCTTATTTAGCCTGTAAATATAAAATTTATAGAATTGTCACTATTATGCATTCCAGACAAATTTATGAACACGAGCTATTGCTGCGAAGCACCTCTGCCTCAGCGTAATGTTATCCTGACATAAGCGATACAAATTCTTTGGCAAGTAGCTCTAACTTTAAGAATGCGGCAGCAAAAAAACAGCAGACTCCTCAGTGACGGCTATCAGCACTGTTCTGTTATACCCGGCAGGCCAGGGGCATGTAGGGAATTAATGATTGTGGTCCACTTCAAAGCACAACGTTCCTCATTGGCTTTAAGACAGCCTCCCCTTGTTTGTTTTTTGGCTTGAATCTATCGGCCACAGACTGAGCAGCAGACAATGTGACTTTGAAACTTGTCTTGTCTGCAGAATGGCGGAAACATTCTGCTTTTAACAAATAGTTCAGCTTGTCATTGGATGGTCACACTTTGATAGATATGTGTTAAATACTGTTTGCACACATGAACCATTATCCCAACATTCCTAACATCTGACAACCAATCAACCTCTAAGACGTTTGCATTCCAAGTATTGTGATTTGATGCTACAACCTGAAACTGTACACCATCCTGTAACACTATGTGGGATCCTTAATACTGATGCTACGAGAGCCTACAGCCATACATGTGTGAACAGTGGGTGAAAACCATTTATAAGCACTATAGATGTGTGTGAATATTGACCACACTGGAAATAGGATAAATAATGTTGCAGTTTACTGATTAGATGATTGGGTATGCACTGTTTTTTTTTTTCTTTTTTCTGTGAAGCCTGGAACAATGACTTGTACTTTGTCAGGATAGATGCTTCACTTCTTTATTAAATGGGTCATTGTGATTAATCAAGTGCTGATGTAATGTATGGGGCTCTGCCAAGAAGTTAATATAAAATGCCTTAGATGACCTATATGAGGAGAATTGTTGATTGTACTCTTGTTTTTCTCTCATGTTAACAATTGTATGAAATGTTTACTAATAAGCCTACAGCAAAGTGTTTGTGTATTGTTTTTGTTTGATAAGTTACTAATAAACCAGTTTCTCTTTGTTTTTGTTCATATCTCAGTTTCCCCTTGTTTCTATGTAAATTGATAGAGTTTATCTGCTTTAGCTGAACATAATTATCTGTAATATGCCAACAGGAACATTTTTAATTAGTCATTTAGATCATTCTTTTTGGGGCTCTAGGCTTATTTCTTCATCAGAGGTCCAAATATACCAGCTTTTAACTAGAACTCATTTGATGAAATATTTTTTTCCTGCATAAGGTTGTTAGCCATTGATTGTCTAATGGATTGCAAAATATGACGTCACCTAAACAGTCTGTAGCCTTATAAATCCTGCTTAATGCAGGGCTGTATGTACTTTTTAGCGTATTTTATAGTATAAGTCCAAATGTTCCATTTTGATTTTATTTTTTCTGGGATCAGGCTTTAAATATGAAACTCGAAATCCAGACTTCAACATATATTTGGTCCAAATGGATGCATGGATGTGCTTAAAAAGTATTTGAAAGGTTGGGTGAGATGCAGAATAGAAATATGAACAGACAAATTAAAGGAATGGATGAAACGGCTCAAATGCATAATTTGACTAAATGGAGGACTGGACTGAACAGCAGAATGAATAAACTAATGTATAAACTGCATATAGGTGCATGGATGGATTCATGGCCAAAGTGATTAAAGGATGGATAGATTTAAGAATAGATCAGTGAATGGAGAGATGGGTTTATAGATAATAAAGATGGATGAATACATGACTGGATCATGAATTTGTTTATTTAGCACAATAGCTGAGCAAAGATGATGCATGAATAGGGGGGAAAACAAAACCCATCCATCCATCCTTTTTCTATCACGCTTTTTTCCCAGCTGGGGCCGCGAGGGGTTCTGGTGCCTATCAACAGCTGTCTGGAGAGTAACGAGGTTCACCCTGGAGAGGTCGCCAGTCCATTGCAGAGCAACACAAAGACAGTCAGGACAAAAAAAACATGCACACTCACACCTAAGGAGAATTTAGAGAAGCCTATTAACCTAAGAGTCCGGTTTTTTGGACTGTGGGAGGAAGCCGGAGTACCTGGAGAGAACCCACGCATGCACAGGGAGAACATGCAACGAACAAAGGACTTTCTTGTTGCAAGGTAGCAGTGCTACCCACCGCGCCACTGAGCAGCCCTGGAAAGAAAAACTCTTCAAGAAAATGTACACAACCCAGTTTTATGATACGTAAATAGCTTATGAAAAAAAAAGAAAAATGAACGGACAAAATTTTACACAACGAGGTTAAAAAATCAGTGGTGAAATCTCTCTAATGTCCCAGAATTGTTTTGGGGGGTTTTTTGTATCCCCATACTTTTACAAATCTGGAAAATCTTTAGATTCTTTCAATTTCAAGCCTGAGGGGAAAAAAAAAAAAAAAAACTAGTAAAGAATAAATACTTTGCTGTTGCATTTGGTGAATTCTACCTTCATAAGCAATTAAAGATGTTGGTAGAAACAGTCTGTGCCATAAATATTAATATTACTAAACTAATGGAAATAGGCCTTCCTCTGTTTTTTTTTTCTTTCTTTTTTTTGGGGTGATTTGCATCAATAAGTCTTAGTGAAACACAGAAGACATGGTGTAGGTGGGAATATAAGCTTTGTTGTATGCTGGATAGTTTACTGCACTTATAAAAAGAAACATGGATCCTACATTCCGATGTTTGATCAATCCCTCCTTATTGATGGGTCTTTTAACGAGCTCTTTCATACTCCTACACTCCCTCGGGAAGGCAGACTTGCAACAGCTAATTAATGACTGGAGAGGGAGAAATTTAGGTCACAATAGGGCTTGGAAAAGGACAGCAAAGTAAGAGGCACTCGTCTGGATCGATTTATCACTTGGAAGGCAGAAACGGGGTGAAAGAGTGCAGGCTTCTTGGAAATTAGACTCCTGACAAAAAAGTCAAGGTTGACAGAGAAGAGAAGAGCCACAGTGCCAGCAGACAATGACACCATCTGGACTAAATAATTGTGACAAGCAACAAGACATTAGGAGAAGCATTTATGGGGAAAAACAAGGAGAAGCTTCTGACCTTCAACAGATTAGCTCTTCCATTTATAATTGGTCTTAAGTCCACATGCAATACATTATATTATGCATAAGGCTCTCTCCCTTCTTCCCCATGGGTTTCTTTCATCTGTCCTTTGCTGTCTACTTTATTGGAAAATGGGGACAAAAAGGGAATTTAACAGGTAAGTGGGTCATCATTTATTACTGTGGTAAAAGTGTCTCTGTGATGTAGAAAAAGAGCGTCCTTATGGGGTAGTTCGCCACAAATACAAATCATTTGAAGGGCTCCGGAACAGTCTAAATTAAATTAGTGATATTACATAAAACAGTGCTGTCATGAAGGACAGAGCCAAACTATATCCACAACCCACTCTAACAAGCCTAGCGGCCCATCTTATACCTAAAACCTTGAATTTAATTGATCAACAATAGTGTTTTTTAAGGTTATTCTGAGTTCTTCAGGATTATTAGTAACTATTAGTATCAATCAGAGATGGGAAGTAATGAAATACAAATACAGTACTTCATTACTGTACTCAAGTAGATTTTTCTGATATTTTTACTTTACTTTACTACTTATTTTTATGACGACTTTTTACTTCTACTCCTTACATTTAAAAAAATTGTTTCGTTACTTTAGTTTTGAATCATTTCAATGGAGTTACCGTTATTATTTTTCACGTCATCAATACCAAATTCAATCTAATTGGATGGGAATCTACGTTGCATTTGACGCACCACTACAAGATTAATCGACAGATTCGGCGGTATTTATTCACGGCAAATCATTGCAGCTTGGTGGCGGTGGCGTTAGCATAGTAGTATGGACGACGAGATGATTGAAAATGAACACAACGGAGATCTAGTCCTATTGGCAGACATCCATTTAAAATGTAGGCAACAGCATGAAAAAAGTGGTTTCTACTTTGACTTTTATACTTTAAGTAAATTTACAAACCTGTACTTTGTTACTTTTACTTGAGTAAAGAAGTTTAATTAGTACTTCCACTTTTACCAGAGTATTTTTTAACACAAGTATCTGTACTTTTACTCAAGTACGGAAAGTGCGTACTTTTGCCATCTCTGGTATCAATACTATTAGTAACTATTAGTATCAATAAGATTCTGTTTCCCTTAGACTATAACAATGGCTTGCTGTAGGGACTGATATTCCGAACTGGAAAGACAGGCGCTCATGCCATTAAAACATGGCAGTTGCCTAAGGCTGCATATTTCTTTAAGATTCGACTGTGAATCAGGATCTGCACATTTTTTCTCAGCCACTAAAACACAGCAAAAGGCGCAGGTAGTTGTTTGGTCTCTCCTACTCCCCACCATAACGGTCCAACAGCTTTTTCTGTGTTTCT